GGTGATGACAACTGATGTTGAAACCGAGAGGCAGCTCTTTAAGAGCGGCATAGACGAGGCTGCCGCCGAATGCTGCGGATATAAACGGGTTGGCCTGCCGCCCGGAGGTCAGAAAAGATCTTCATGGTGGACACGAGAGGTACAACTGGCAGTTAAAGAAGAGAAGAAAGCAGCGTTCAAAAAATGGCTTGGAAACAAGGAGCCTTCTACTCGAGTGCGATATGTCGAGGCACGCAAGGCGGCAGCCAGAGCAGTGGCAAAAGCCAAGGTTGATTCCTGGGAGAAGTTCGGCGAGGTGTTGGAATCGGAATTTCCACACGGCAAACAAAGTATTCTGGCAGACCATCCACCGGCTCCGAGGTGAAAAGACGGGCAGTCTCAGAGTCTTGAAGGATAGATCTGGACACCCTCTTACCAAGGATAATGACATTCTTTTTTCGATGGAGGGAGTACTTCAAGGAACTCCTTAACCCCGCGAAACTGCAGGAAGACTGGCATGTGGAGCAGAAGGGTACGGATATTGCAATCTGTGTGTGTGTGTGTGTGTGTGTGTGTGGCGGGCAATGAATCGTTGTGGGATTTTGATTATTTTCAGGACAACCAACATGACAAGAGTGCACATCATGAGTACAGGACCTTCTCCCAGTGAATACTTCATTCATCCAGACTTGATCATATTCTGGACGGACAGCAGCACCAGATACGCCTGGAAAATTGCACTAGTGCGCATAAAAATTGTCGGCAAGGTTCCTCGAAATTCTATTGCACCAGCTGTCGTGCAACACAGCTTGACGACAAGTCTTGGCGAATGCCAAACACCGGTTTGGGATTCTAATCGTAAGCTGAAACTAAATTATACGATAACTGTGCCGCGATTTCATTCTCTGCTTCAGCCTCCAGAATCTTGCCTCAGGCAGTCAGTAGGACATTTTCAATCGAGTACTCTGGGAATACAAAGCCACTGAAGGAAACCGAACTCAACGCACGTAAGCTTACGATGAACACCACCAGCGAATGCGTAAGTAGTTTCAGTGTGATTCTGCAGAAAATTTCACCATGTTATATTGCAGCTTGGCCAAGAAGCAGCGGGTGTATATTTCTGTCTGAGGGAGTGAATAAATAACTGAACCTCTTGTGCAAAACCTCAGTCAAGCGGTGAGCGAAATGATCGACAACAACTTTTCAAATGACGACATGTTTATATACAGCGACTTAGAGAATCCCTGAGAGGCAGCATTTTTTTATTCATCGGTTTAACTTCCTGCTTTAAATATCTTGACAAAACTATGCGAAAGTTTGACAGTAAAAAAAAGAATCAAGATTACTTCAGTCGTTGTGGAAAACTGCGTATCTAAGAAATTGAGTTTTTGACAAAATTTTCTTACGTCTGCATGTAATCTTGCTAAAAGGCGGGTTACAAGACATCGGGCTACAACTCGTCTCCATCCGTCTGTACATTTTGGTGCAGTTTTCAAATCAGCGCGCGTCATTCGTATCGAAGGATGGAATTAGTGATTGTGTGATGAATACTTGATACCGTTCAAGCAGTTAGGCTTTACTTTAAGATGCACAAAATGAGTACTTGGAAATCAAATAGTAGAAATGCAAAGTAGACAAGAATGCTATCACCCTTTTATGCAACAAGATTTACCGGACATCATCTTTCTGCGACTATAACTTTCATCCACGGTACGTCATGTCATGGATCGCTTCAGATGCGGTCACAGACAGAAATGCGCAATGCTTGTGACTGTGTAATTCAATGGAATCGATCGATTTAAACCCAGTTTTGCTCTATGCAATTTTACCGCTAACTCCGGGTACCCGAATACTGTTAGTCATAACATTATGTTTATGGGATCTGAGTGACTCAGAACCGACGACCAAGTTACTGATGCTATTGCAAGCTCGTTATAGCGTTCATTTGATCGCAGCATATTCTTCGATACCGACTTGTTCATGGTCACACCGTTTTAGAAAAATATGATCGGACAGCCTCTGCTGTGCAACTACGTTTCTGGAAAGAATGCGACTACCGTGATGGCGGGAATACTGCTTAAAGAGAACTGTGGCCCAAAAAATAGCAGCGTCCAGCCGTTCACAAGAATGGATTTGTACGCCGACTGGTTAGAACGTGCTGTGAAAATTGCTCCGAGGTTGCAACAGGGCAGTTATATACAGACCGACGGTGGAATACTGACCGACTGGAACGAAATGGTAAGTCTTGAAGCATTTTCACACTTACCTTACTATTTGGCTGTTTACCAACTCACTGAAAGCTTACATTCTTCCTCACTTACTTAACTACTTACTACTTACTCGCTTGCATATTTGATGATTTATTCAGCTTCCCACTTGCGGTCGGTTGGACTGTCTGTCGAGCAATTAGTCAATCAATTTCGATGACCGTTTTTTTTCGGGCTACGGAAGCAGACGCGTCAGACCGATCCTGCGACAACGTTGAGCTCTGGCAAAGTGGAACAGAATCTGTCGATCGATACACGTGCAACAAGTGATCCTTGTCCATCCCTTGGATCGTAGGCCGGCCGGCTGGGCAAACAGCAGTTCTTTCGCTTTCTTTTGGAAAGTATTCAAAAGTCATGTCCAAACCATCGCAGGTTAGCTTCTCAGTCTATATCTCTGCCATTAACCATATCAAACTTGATGAGCTAAGCGATTTTTCACAGAAAACGCATTTTTGTCAGTCTTACTCAACATCGCAGTTCTTTAGTCATGGCCCATAACTCATGACCA